ATTAACCGCATCAAAGTTAATCAAAAAAATATGAAAAAGAAAGTGGAGATTTTCATATTTAAAACACATTGAATATTATTCACTTAAATCAGAATATTATGAGTGGTAAAGGCATTTTATGCCTGTCTTCCTGTTACTCTTTTTAGTCTGTTAACAGCAAAATATATGGTGATAGTCTCATAATTCTGTCTAACAAATGCTAACAAATGATTTCTAAGTAACTTTCTAAATTCCTAGAAAGCAATATAATGAAAAGTTTAAATATTATCTAGCTTTCATATTAATACATACATGCTAAGACACATTTTTTTCTCAGGCAGTAAAACCAGGCACAAACTGTCTAAATAGATTGTAAACAGTGGTAACATTTTGCAAAATTATTGTCTTGATTCTACATGACTTGTGAGCTGTCAACTGCGGCAAAGAATGAAGGAGTTATCAGTTACTTCTTTTCTCTTCTTAAGGAGATGACATTTTTAAAAATTGCTTTGTTTTAAAAGACTAAGTACTATAGTTCAGATTTATTTATTTATTTATTTTTACACCTGAACTCTTCACTTAGAAGTGCAGCTCTTTTTCTAATGTCTTATAGTGATTGTTTTGCTACAACAAAACAGTTACACTTAACTGCACTTTTGTTTAGAGAAGTGTATGCCTGCCTTCAGCTCTTCTACTATTTGAGTATATCTAAGATGACTTGGAGGCAGCATTTACTTTCTGGTAACTTTTAAGAAGATAACTTACAATTCTGTAAGGGTTGGTGAAAAATCAATAATAACTGATGTTCTCGTAACATGCCTGCAGTATGGAAGGTAAGTTGGGGGCAAAAGGTTATTTTCCTTGAATTGAATGGAGAATCTTGTAATATATACTAAAAGCATTCAATTTCAGGATGGACAACAGTGTTGAAATATAGCTTATAATTTCTATAAATACTTCACTGATTTTCCCTAACAATCTGAATGGTCAATTGAACTCAGAATTGAGATATTGGACTATATTTCCTAAAATCATATCTAAAAATGTCATTTATGTGCCATAAAAAAAATATATTCTAAAGCTGCTTCTTTTTTTCATGTCTAATTTTCCAAAAATTTCATCCTAGCAGTGAAAGAACACAAAGTTTAACTGTACAGAAAATGGAGACCTTACACAGACTGGAACTGAAACAAGACAGTATTTTCTATTTAAAAAAAAGGTCAAACACAAGTTAATCCTTTGTAAATCTTTATTGAGCATGATTTTGCAATATGTGGGAAAACTCTTCCTCATGTTTCCCAGATAGAACCCAAAGAAGAACTAGATTCTGGTCATGAGAATCCAAAGAAGAATAAGATCCTGATTATGAACTTTTACATATCCTTGAATTCATCTTTCTTAGCATACATGACTATTTCAGTGAATAACATTTGCAAGAAAAAAAAAAAAGTAATATTTCTCTTATTCAGTGTTCAGTTACCAAAAAGGTATTATCTGGAAGCTAATGCTGTTCACTGTTTTCTGACACTTTATATTTAAAAATACATAGCATGCATACAAAATTAAAAGACTTTGTAAATTAATTAATTAATTAATATTTTAATTAAGTATGTGGAGATAAGTTTCCATGAACTTAATTTATACAAAATCATTTGAAAACACAGAATGGAAAAATTTCCTAGATAAAGTAACTACCTCAAAATTATGTTAACTGCCTTTTTAAGACTGTCAGTCTTGACAATATTCCTCATTTAATGAGTTTTCAGATCCAGGTAAAACTCTCAGTTAAAATGTCTTGGCAAATTCCTTGAGATGCCACTTTCTCATTTTCAGGATATTTCAGAATATTGGCATTAAGTGAATGTATCTTTTTACCTATTGGCTATTGATTGTCATCCTATTCCTACTATTATTCCCTAAAAATTTGCACTGTTTGGTAAGTGTTTGCAGACTTAGCAAAAGGTTTTGGTGTATTGATGCATCTTGAAAAGGATTCACTCTGTTTTGGAAGTCCTGTTAGATGTCTTGGCAAAAAAGACAAGGGACACAGTCTTGAAAGTGCAAAGTGCTAATGCACCATTTTTAAATTTAGAAGGATTATGTTGCTCAGAATGTTTCAGTTAGGTCTTTGATTCCAGAGATGAGAGCCTTATAATGGCTGGAGGTGGTGTAACACTGAGAGTTGCAGGACTTACTCCTTAATGGATTCCCCGTGAAATTCCTAAGTTATGTGTTAGATTCCCCACGCAGTGAAAATGCCAAGATCTGCAAGCTTTAGCAATTTAGCCTGTAAACCATTTGGGAATAATAAATTAAATTTTGCCATTTTGAAAGATTTCAGGGTTAATTTCAGATTAATAATCCTAACTACAGTTCTGATGTTAAGCAGCAGCACTCTCTTAAAAAAAGAGAAAGTCTAAGTGAATTGAATATTTTTTTTCAAAGTACAGCTAGATAAAGAGGAGATGCAGTTTCCTGCTTTCTACTTAACATTAAGTAAAGATACCTTATGCATGAGGATCTGACATATTACAGCTCAGACCATTCAATTAAAAAGAGATTGTTAATATGTCCATTTCAGAAGTCACTCCATGTAGCCAGACAGAAATGACAAATTTTGTGTTGAACTTTGGCATCTGAAGGACTTATGGTTGACTCTGCACTGGAGAGATATACCTGTCTCTCCTTTGGATTCACAACTTAAACTTTTCTCACATATAGATGGCTAAACCCTTTCTATCATAAACTGAGTAGGTGTCATTCCTTTATTTCAAACTGCGGCAGGAGAAAGAATGTTTGAAAGGAAGAGTATCACAGGCCAGAGTAGGATTATCCCTTCCTTCCCACCTGCCTATTCCCTTACTTATGCAAAGCACTGGAGGAGAGGGCATTTGTTCAAGACTGGGGGGTTCAGGTTCAGTTCTAACCCATGACTAAGACAACTCATGTCTCTTTTGCACTAAACAGAATTTTACATAAAAATATTGAAGTCATTACTGAAACAGGAGCTACCACTGAAGCCTTTTCTCTGCCACTGTGTGCTCTAATCCCTAATCTACATAACAGTTTATGCTCTCCCTCTCTCTACCACTCTGCCTCTGTTAACCGCTTCCATGAAAAGTGGAACAGAATAAGTAGGTGGAAACTGCAAGTGTTTTTACCTTGAAATGGTCTAACGCCTGTAAGATACAGCCCTTTGCGAGACACTGAAGTTTAAATCTCTTCTGGCAGAAGACAGTATTGGATTGACACTCTCAAATGTGTCTTACATTCAGCTCTAATGCTTCAGCCGATGAATGGCTACACAGAAGAAAGTTGTAAAGTTTGCCACATTCCTTCTTTAGAATTACCACTTTTTTTGAAGAGCTATATTTATTACACCTTTTCAGAGCACACCTGCTGAATTGATGGCCCTATGCATGGAGAATTGGAATGTGAATTCTGATGGATCCAGGAGTAAGCCAAGCACCAATGTGTTTAACAGAGTTTCTACTGACTATTGTCAAATGACAATCCTATAAAGTTTAATGTGGAAAACTGAGTGCCTAATTGTTCAGAGTGCCTTCAGTCCTGGAGGCTGGAAGCTGATTACAGATTTTGATAGACAGTTTCACTTTAGGCTCACAAAGATCTAAGTAGGGTGAGGTGCTTAGATATTTTCTGGATCTATTGTCCAAGTTCCACGTTTGTATGAATACAAACAGTTTATAAATAAAGCTGAATTCTTGATTTAGGAGATAAATTAGACAATTAAATATTAGCTGATGATATATCACTAATCACATAAAATCAAACAATGATCAAGAGATATTTACAGTAATTCTAGGTGTTCTGTATTTTTTTTCTCTTTTCCTAGATCATCTCCCTGGATTGGAGATTAGTTATTAAGAAATCAGAATGCAAAAAGATAGATTATATCCCAAGTTTGCTTTGGGTGAGAGCAATTGTCAGAGGCTTGTCATAACATCTCAGGCTCTGGGATGTGTTATCTAGTTAATATTTTTCTCCATTAGTTGGAATACATATAAGTGAAAGTATGTCGTAAGAGTGGTAAAATGACAGACCACAAAACTGAGACTCTTCATCCTTACTTTTGTACTTCATCAATACTCCAATTCTCACACTGGGGAGAGGCTAATTTAGCACACTATTAGTAGTTGATAATTCAGTCAAACTGAGGGAATAAGGGAGATTTTATTTTGCTTTTCAAATTTCTTGCACAGAAAAGTGGTAAAAGGGGATCTAGCTTTTGTTGAAAACACGTTAATAAACTATTTTGCTCATGGTAAGTTCTCGTAATATGAATAAAGATTGATTAACTGAATATTTTTGGCAAATATATACTACACAAATGATAGTCTGTAGTGAAAGAAGTGTTTAGATACAGAAGAAATTAAAAATAATGGAGTAGATATTTGTTTTAAGTAATGGGTCTGCATTTTAAGGACATTTAAACATTAATGTAGGTAAACTTCCTACACTAAGGCTTGTTTTTTTGAGAAACATATACAAATGAAATTTTTATATGATTTTATTATTTTGTTTATTTTTAATTATTATTTATATTATTTCTATTAATAATATTTTAATTATTATTTATATTATTTTATAGAAATTAAATTTATTATTTTGAAATATGGGAAAGGAGATTTTACTCAATGTCTAATGTATGTGTTACATTCAGGTGCTATTCGGTAATGCTAACCCATGTTAACAGAACATCTCTTGGAAATATTTCTATATATCATATGCATCCATGGTTAGTAGCTGCCAGATAAAATATTGTAGAGACAAGGTGGTTTTTTCACTGAGTCATCACATCACAGCTTGATAAGTCATTTTAATTATTATGCGATGCATATTTAAAAGAGGGTAATTTGTTCCGAGCTCCAGGCTGAGACAAAGCAAATTTACAGGACTGACAAGGCTGTGCCCATAGAGTGAATCTGCTTCTAGACATTGCAGCTAGATATTTCTTATGGATTTTTTTTTTCTTCTTCTTCTTCTCTTCCCCTCTGTAGAGGTCCTTCTGTAGTGCCATGATAGAGGAGCTAAGGATGTCTCTGAAGTGTCAGCGTCGATTAAAACACAAACCACAGGCCCCTGTTATTGTGAAAACAGAAGAAGTTATCAACATGCACACATTTAACGACAGAAGGTTGCCAGGTAAAGAAACCATGGCATAGAGCTGGGAAGCCAAATACCCCAAGCACAAACTGTCGTCTTTTTTCCAAACAACCTTGCAAGAATGTTTCCTGTGGAAATATGCAACCTGTGCAAAATAAAATGAGTTACCTCATGCCGCTGTGTCTATGAACTAGAAACTCTGTGATCTCAGCAGTTGCAATGGCCAGACTCGAATCACAAGCATCATGGATCAACCAAGTTATGCGGGGTTACACTGTTTGTCATGGGTTTCCACCATTCTGAATGAATGAATGTTCCATGTGAGTTTTGTGGCTGGTTTCAAATGCAGTCTCAGTGAGAAATTACAGGTTCCTTTTGAAGTTCAACGGTTGCCAGGAGATGGAGAATAAATGTCCAAGATGATAATAACCACAGAAGGAGTCTAGTAAAAGTAACATCTCAGAACTGTAGCAGAACAAGAAACCATATGTTCTTCTGAACTTCCAAGCATAGAAGAGTTGGTAACTGCTGGTAAGCTGAAACTACCATCTGGACAGGCGATATGAGCTTCCTGGATGGGAGAAATGTTAAAGAGAAGAAATATGAATCCCATGAATAGAAGGATATATATGAGGATGCTCACCTGTTGTTTGGACTGTCTGTGTCACTGAACTAAGTAAATAAATAATAATAATAATAATAATAAAATCAGTAACTTAAATTTTCCTGGGCTGGAACTTTGATCTAAAAAAACAAACAAAATTCCATAATTTTGACCCACTTTTTAGATGAATGAAAGTTTCCTTAGTACAAAGGAATGTATCTTTAGATATAAGCGATTACTTTTTTTCTTTAATTGTGAAAAGAGGGAGGGGGGAGGGAAGCAGAGTATTTCGCACATAGAGGGCTTGCATTTTAGCCTGAATGGGTTTTGAAACCTTTGTTCCTGCCACTTATTGAACTCAATGGAGCCTGTGCAATTCTCACTAATATTGGAAGTGGGATGGGTCACCTAAAAGAAGTGAATGTGGAGAACTTTAAGGAGGACTGCATTTTTCAATACAGTCACACTACTAAATGAACAAAATTCTTGAGCAGTTTTTTTTTTTTCAAAAAAAAAAAATGTTCAGGTTTATTTGTGGAAATGCAAGATTTCTATGAAAATAGTTTTTGTATGGAAATTTTTGTAATACTTTTTATCAACAAAATAAGAACATGTGTTTCTGTCAGGGGTGTGATGCCAAGCATGAGTGGTAGTGCGTGTGCACCACCAACGTTTGGTGAAAACTATTTTTATCAAGAAAAAGGAATCTTAGAAGAGACATATTTTCAAGTTAGATAATATAAAAAATAGGTGCACTACCACCACTGCTTACCATGCTACACCCCTGGTTTCCACTAGGCTGATAACATGCTGTCATGAACAATTGTGTATAAATGGTAAAAGACACAGACCTCTTGACCACATTGTGATAACAGTTAAAGTGCACTCAGTTTGCTGTTTGAATCCAATGCACAAAATTAAAAAGAAAAAAAAGCATTAAAATTATGTCAGTTTTAGTTGTTTTGTTTTTGCTGTGTGATTTGAGCAATGTATGTACAGTACTTGTGTCAGTACTGGTACTTAGCTTCAGCTTAGTGCCCTATCGTGCTGATTTTTGCCACTAAACAAGTGGCCAGAGAGTTTGCTGGGATTTCTGAGAGAAGCCAGTACAGAACATTGTGATAAGTTTTTGCAGGATCTGGCTCTTAGCTGCTTCAAAGCTAATGTATATGTCCTGCCTGTGGTAAGTTCCTGGACATAACATTTTGAAATACTACCCTACAGATGCTGAATCTTGCGCCTCTGTTTACTGTAAATTTTTTTGTATCTCAACAAAAAATGTACAGGATGGGCTATATAAGAATGTTATGTCAACCAAAAAAGATTATGAAGATAGTCTTTATATGAAAAATGATTCATTTGACTAGTTTTAAAAAAATTCAAAATTATCATAGATAATCAGTCATTGGTGAGTAATGAGAACCTTTGTTTACTGGGGTTTAATTTAATCTTATCATTACCTTTTTAACACAGTAGTATAAGATATATCATTCAAATTGTAGAAATTATATCATGACATTTGGGGGGAAGGGGGAGGTTTGTGTCTACTACCCAGTTCTCATAAATCTTCATAGAGACTGAGCTGGCCATTTCCATTGTGAACAGGGACTGAGAAAGAAAATTCTCTTGTATGTGTGAGAGTTTCATCCCCATTTATGTGATAACAAAGAACAGGTTATCTTTGTCTGAAGCATAAACAAGACAAAAAAACCTTCAGCAAAGATTCTGAAAATGAGGATACTTACGTAATGTATATTTAAGTTTAAGTTAATTCTTTAAAATACAAAGGGGAAGCAAGTAGCTGTCATACAACACAATGAAAACTAATTATGATGGTTTGGAATGGAAAAAAAAATTGGCTATTGCATTTGATCGATGATTTACAATAAAATTTGTAAAATCATGTAATAAAATGCTGTATTATATTTAAACAAACCTTTCTTTTCTCAATTAAGGGTGTTGAAATAAGCAGGATTCCATTGTCATCTTGATGCACATGACTAAATATCATTAAGCTTGATGCGAGCCAAATTTAAGCATGAATGCAGAATATGTCCCAAATGTTTTATTGGGTCAAAGTCCCCCAAGGAACAAAAGTCATAACACAGAAGTAGTGTGGTTTAATTAAGTTTTTAGTGAGAATTTCAGCTTTCTAGTATTAAGGGAAATATGCAAAGTAACTGGAGAATAGTGTTTAAAATCAAGACTGGAAATGCATGGCTCCACAGATTCATAGTAGGATAATGGCTTTTTTTTTAAAAAAATCATACATTAAACCATACTGTTACTTGGTTGTGCATAAGTAATTATTTCTGTATTTTTTCACAGAAAATTAAGATATTTAAGGAAAAATTAGTAACAAAGAGTTGACCCCCAAAGCAGCAGAGAATACTACTGGTAGTTTTGCACTCCAAAAGTCTCAATGGTTCATTTTCCCTTCACTCTTCAGAAGGAAATCCTCAGTGTTGAAGAATACTTCCTCAATTTGAAAGATCTCTGAAAGGCTAGTCACAAAATAGTAAATGTAGTAAATGTAGTAAAAATTTCTCTAGTGTCACTAAAATCAATGGAACTACATCAGTGAAAATCAAGCAAGTATCTATCTGGCCTGTGAAGATTCAGAATCCGTACATAACTGTTTTATATAGTTTCAGATAACATATCAATTAGTCTGTTGATTTCATAGGAGAGGATGATGGGTGCTTCTTTGACTGACCTTGAATGTCACTCCAGAGAAGATTTCTAAAGCAGTTATAACTCAGTTATATGGTGCTACCTGGTGGATAACAATTGGAGGTAAAAATTGAAGAGGACTTTTTTTTTTTTTTAACTGTGTCTGTTTCAAGGAGGATAGATGTTGATAATCTTTAAGGATTCTCAAGACACACAATTTAGACCTTCTATAGAATTCATGTCTCAGCATGGTTATATAGCAATAGATAAGTACATGGATATTGCAGTATAAATGACAAGAAAGCCTCTAGCTTTTTGATAAATGTTGTTTGCAAAGGATTGGTAGTGAAAATTCTGAGCCAAAGAGTTGGATGAAATCAAGACATATGTGGTGCTTTATAGTAAATGAGGATTTGGCCAATTATAGACATCAGCAGCCATTTTATAGTGGTCTCCTATTACACAAACACAAATACAAACATATCCAGGGAATATATGGCAGGTTTTGTATGAGATATTATTCTCTGAAGTTTCTATCTCAATTTTCAGTTGAAGAATTCAGTGTAGGTTTGAAAAAACCTTTTATTTTGTGTTTATATTACTTGAGGCTCTGTGCAATAATCCTTCCTGGTTTCATCCATAGAGTCTTCCTAAAAACCAAAATAATGCTGTTTAACCCTACTACACTAACTAGTTAATATTTCAGAATGGAGAAGACACAATTTATTAAGAATAAACCCCCACCAAAATCCAAAGCCTCAAATAGAAGTAGGAGAAATGCATTGAGATTCCACAAAATCAAAACGTTTTCAGGTAAAAGGGGTCATGAGCAGAGCTAATGGCATACAAAGAGGTAAAAGATAATGCTATAAAATAATTTTTGTATTATTATTATAGTAAGGGTATTAGAAAAATATTTAAAGTACTTTAGACAAGTTCATTTAGTCTGCAAATACATTAGAGTGTCCAAATACATCAACAATCCCAAAATATGATGATTGAAATGCTGACTACTTTGAAAGCAGTGTCAAAACTCCCACTTCAGAGGAAACAAGATTTTGCCCAATACATCCCCAAATGTGTACTGATACAATATTAAAGGCAAAATAAGATACCAGCCTGCGTTTGGGTGTAGAGGAGCAATTGTGCTTTTTGTCATATTTTCAAAGATGTACAGGAAAAGGAAGGGTCACTGAGGTTGACTCATCTGACATCCAAGATCATTGCTTTCCAACCTCAAATATGTTAGCGTCCTTTTCCCTTCCAGTCTTGCCTCTCTGCCTTCCCACAAGCACCTCTGACACTTTCAAATTTATTTTCAAAACCCTTTTTTCCTGGCATTTTTATAAAATGTAGTTCGAATTAAAAATAAAGTTACTCAAGCACCTCATCTCCCCAGTTTGTATCCACCAAGATAAACACAGTAGCTTTTCATGTGACTGTAATCTAATTGTCCTTCTTTTTATTTACTACTCCTCTCTGTCCCCTGCCTGTGTTACCTCCTCCTGTTGTTCTTGTACTTGCCTAGATTGTAAGCTCTTAGGGGGCAGGGAATCTGTCTTTGATTTTTTCTATGTAGCACCATGAAATATGGAGCTATATAAATAATAAAAAAATCAGACCTTCTTAAATGATGTTTGAATGATAGTGATCTGATTGACTGCCAGTCTAGTAATACATTGTTTTAGCTCATTGCCTGAAATCCTAATCACTACAGCAATAGAATAATCAAAAAATAAAAATAATAAAATCAACCCAAAGGAGCTATCACACTGACTCATCTTACTGGAAATTTCCACATATGTTTGGGGTATAGTAATATAGAACATCATGTTCCCAGAGCTTCTATAAAGGTTTTAATATGAAATCAGCTATATTAAAATGGAAAAAGTAGGTTAACACATGAAAAGAAGGGATATATGCAGGATGAGCTTTGCAAAAGAGAATTTTTAATTGGTTTAAGATTGGAAAAGCTATTATTAGTCAATTTTTTAAGTTCAACAACAGGCACCTTGGCTTTCTTCGTTGTATCTATTCACTTAGATCAAGAAATCTCTCATCAAAATTCTATTTTATTAATAATTTTATGAATAATTTTATGGACATTATTAGAAATTTTCTATGAAAGTTAATTCTAATTAAAACTAAAGAAATTCTTCTTGTTCCTATAGAACAACACTAGCTTTCTATGACTGCTGGAATGACAGAATTGTGGGAACTTGAGAAAAATGCTAACTGTAGATAAACGAAAGGAAACAATGCATCTAATCTTGAGGACAAACACATCAGCTTTCTCTTTTATCTTCTTCTTCTTCAGGGGATGCCACTCTGTAATGATGAACTTTATTCTTTGCCATGACTGTAGGAGTTTTGCTTGGAGGAAATAACATACTTTGTCCTACATTAAACTTACCCAGAAAATTATATGAAAACATTGATGATTGTAAAGGTTTGAGCTGTTGCTGTTCCTTGGGTTACATCATCCACCACAGACCAATTGACAGCAATTTGTTTTGAAGGTAATAATTAAAACTTTATGATGGATTTATGCCAAAGATTGTATCTTGCCAGCCTCCCACAAGGAGACTGCTGGCTGTTAAGCCCAGGAAGTGGAAAGCAACTGAACACAGTGCTGGTAACCATATCATTCTCTATAATCTAACTATCTGTGCCGTTTAAACTCAGGTGGATGAATAAAATTTCTGACACGTACATCTGCTAAGCCATTCTTTGCATTAATGTCTATGTTAAAAATTACTTGTGGGCTTAATATAGATGAATGTCTTATAGAATCAAAGACTCACAAAGTTACAGAATCCTAGAGGTTTTCAATTTCTGACTCCAGTGATGGAAGAACCTTCTGGAGACCATTGAATCCAATACCCCCCTCATTATAGGAGGCTATCAGGTTGGTTAGACATGATTTCTGCTTTGTAAATCCATGCTGACTACTCTCCATCACCTTCTTGTCCTTAATATGTTTAGAAATGGTTTCCAGGAGGATTCGTGCCATCACCTTCCCAGGAATGGAGATGAGGCTGATAAAGCTGTAGCTCTCCACATCCTTCTTATTGCCCTTCATGAGGGTAAGAGTGACATCTGCTTTCTTCCAGTCTTCAGGCATCTCTGTCAACCACCATGAGCTTTGAAAGATTATCGAGTGACCTCACAATGTCATTAGTCAGCTGCCTCAACTTTTGCCAGTGCATCTCATCAAGTCTCATCAACTTATATATGTCTTGTTTGTTTAAACATTCCCTGAACTGATCCTTGTACACCATGGGTAAGTCTTCCTTGCTCCAGACTTTCCCATCAGTCTCAGGGACCTGGCTTTTCTGAAGGCAAATTTTACCTATAAGGTCATAAAATGAAGACGCTGAGTACTTGTCCTTCTCCATGTCCTTTGTCACTATGCCCCCACACCCATACTGCAGCCATCCCATGATTTCCTGAGTCTTCCTTTTGCAATTGATATATTTGTAGAAATGAACATGTTTTCATCTTTCTGAAAGTTTTGAAGAAAAGTTGTCTGACATGAAAAAGAGAAAACAAAGGCAAAAGCTATTTGTGTTCAAGGTTCATGAGATCCATCAGTTTTCTCTAGACCATATTTCTATCCTGACTGTGTAAGCTCTCAGATAGTAGGATTTTAAATCACAGACTCATATGAACTTGATAATTCAGACACACAAGTGTAGTAGACACACAAAGTACCAAAAGAAGTTGAAATAACTGCCATTTTCTGAATCAGTCCTAGGTTCAGAAGAAAGTGTCCAAGAGGTATGGTTGAAGTACATCTCTAGTTGTAGTTCTCTTTTGTAAATCATATCAGGCATTTTATCTTTATGTTTCTTTCAATTAATGGTTCCCAACGTAACTCAAATCTACTCTTAGCTACTTGCTCCAGACTCTTGCTTGTCTCAATATATTTTAAGATCAGTACAGTGTTCTATCAGACAGATAATCTTTGGCCAGAATCCAGCCTGAGGGAGACAACACGTGGCCCTTAGAATCAAAGTAACTGAATTAAAACCAGGCTATTGAAATTATCAGTCATCCATGTTTCAGCTCAAAGCGTTCATTTCTGATGATGGGTATTATATTCAGATTGCTAGACTTTTTCCAGTTTATTCTTGCTATACACAGGTTCACATTATAGGAAACCCTAGTCTATCATGGCATTCCAGAAATTGCCTATGAAGCATGGGGATCGTTTAGTTTCTATAAGACAATGAACCAACTCATATTCTACTTGTGAACCTGCAATACCTGCTATTAGCAAGCTGAGTTTCATTATAACAACTCCTTCGTTTTTCTTGTAATTTCATTGCATTTTCTCTACCTTTTTGGTTTTATTCTGGTAACTGGATTTCTTTCTTTGCTTTTGGTTTAACCTTTGTGTTCATGTGGAGTGCCTGCAAAGATGGAATGCTAACAAAATGCAAACATTGTATAATAACAATAAGAAAAAAGAAAGATAAGTGTTTTCTCAGAATGGTATTTATCTTGCTTCCAAGATATTCTGGTCCAAGAAGTGGACATAATCACATCACATTAACTTGAGTTAAGGACCGACTTCCAGCATACTAGTTGTTCAACTCTTCTTAATGTGTTTGGGCCCTCTGTAATATCAAGAATCTGTACTAATAGCATTGTTTTAACAAGACCAAGTTAAATCATGCTGCATGTCAGCCGTACATATGTTATGTCTTTTACTATTTACACAATACAATTAATGGCATATGACTACAGAAATGCTGGGACTTCAGTTTACCTACACAACTAGCCTACAGGCCTACTATGATTTCTTTGGAAACTAGTAAAAAAAGACAAACAGTATCACAAATCAATTATCTATTCTTAAACTGTTGCTCTGAAAAAAGACTGCAGGGTGCCATTTTATTTTAAATGGAAGATACAATGAAGTATGGTCTTTGTAACAAGCTCTCCATGGATGAATACGTACTAGATGAACTACAAGAGTCTGGATTTAGGATATAATTGAATGACCCAGTTTTCCATCTGTTTATTAGGATGTTGGGCTCTTAAAGCATTATAATTAATATTGACATCTTTGACACTAAAAATTGAAGTGTGAGTTTTGCTTGAATGCCCTGAATTCTACAGACTTTGATTTTCACGAGGTTTATGTATCTCACTTGTTAGGAAAAGGGTATGAGAACTAAATAATTGATTCTTAGCCCAGTGAATTCAGTACCCCATTGGTGGCTTAGACTAACTTTTAAAACGGATGCTGTCCCTGGTAAGACATTTTTCATAACAACTCATTATGAAGGTGAGCGAGTATGTTGTAATCATACCACTAATTTAATACCTTGCCCAGTGTAAATGAAATTAATGGGAATTTTTATATAATATTTGGACTGGTAAATTATGAGAATTGATATGTATTAGTCCACACTTACCTCTGTGTTCCTCAAGGCTTACTTATACATGATATGGTGGGTTTTTTTCCATGGATTATATATATAGATGTACTGATTGCTACACGAATCCTACTTTCTTGGCCTCCTAAGCAGATCCATTTTATGATTTTGCTCTCTTTTCAAGGTGACAAATGGCTTTGTGAAGATAAACAGGATAAGCAGCTCTAGCTTCAGTTATTTATTCCAAAACGTGTTAGGAGATGCATCTAAAATGTATAAATATGGTATAAAAATGTAAATATTGATTAATCCATTGAGGAGTTGACATTTGGGCATTTGTTAAAATTCAGTGTATAAAAAGGAAGATAAGATTGCCTATTCTTGAGTGAAACCTTTTTTTCAGCTTCTCATTAGCAATCTCTAATCCTATTTCTAAACTTGTATGAATCTCTCTTTAAACCCTTTAGATAACCAGCAAGTGGCTGATAAGAGATTTCATCATTTAATTCTCTTAAATTTTCTTTTCAATAATCTAGATGATTCATAATTACAATTGACTCAATTTTTGTCTGCTAGCCTAATTACAAAATCCTTGCAGTGTGTCAGTTTCTTTAAAGACTTTCAGATAACTAAATTATGGATAATTTTTGTTATAATTCTGAAATAATTGCTAAAAATTATGGATTTTTTTAAAAGTTTTTAAAGATGCAATCAATGTCCTTTTCCATACTGGAGACTGTTAAAACAGTTTGTGGATTAAATTTACTCATATTTTTATAATTGAATCTGTTGGAGATGCAGATAATTTTCGTGTGTTCCTCAATGCCTGTAAACAAAATTTTTGGCCTAACTTTCCTTGCAATAGTTTTACTTAGTGTTTATTTCCAGTAGAGATCATCATTACAGTGTTTGATTTCCTAACAGGTATTAATATTTGCACCCTTATAATGACCTCAAAGAGTATCGCTTTTTCATTTACAGAATGAAATGTGACACAATGAATATGGAGTTGCCTAAATTTAGATAGAACGTGTGTGCCTGCAGTCTCCTAAATCCTTACTTAATATGACTGGATTGTGGTTACATGGCCCAGATTGCTGCTAAAAGGAGAGATTCTTCACTTTCTCCATTTTCTAGTCCTTTAACCACATTCCCTCCTTTGGGCCATTATACATCTTTTTTGTTGTTTTTTTTTTTTGTGGACATATGATGAGAAGGATCTCTGCTCCTTCAGTTAGTGGAGAACT